TGGGTCACAGGTAGAGTGCTGTGGGCTGGGAAAGGGGCAGGAGCCCGAGGAGAGGAGGCCGGTGAGAGGAGCATGGAACTGAAGAGCTAGTGTGAGTTAACAGCAAGAAAGTCAGAGACAATGTGGGCACCCTCCATTCCCGATGCTGTCTGCTCCTCCAGCCTCCTTGGGTTTTGAGGACCCTTCAAGACCCCCTGTTCAATTTCTGGACATTAGCATTCCTCCAGAGTTTGGGCTTGGCTCATTCATTCATTTTCAACAGCTCTTTCACCCTTGTCTTGGATGTAGACTTTCTGCTCCAGCCACCCACCCTGTCCGTGCTCCTTCTCATGCCCACAGCCATGAAGGCCACAACCCAGCCTCCAAGAAATAGTGGGGATTTTGGCAATAATAATAATACCAACTGCTAGGTTCCCATGATAATCAGAGGAGATCATTCTACAAAAGTTCTATATAAAAATACGGTAATAGAACATGATTTTGGGGGGTGCCTGGGTGGCTCAGTCGGTTAAGCATCTGCGTTTGGCTCATGTCATGATCCCAGCATCCTGGGATAGAGTCCCGCATCGGGCATCCTGCTCAGCGGGGAGTCTGCTTCTCCCTCTGCCCTTTCCCACCCCCCTGCACGCTCTCTCTCTCAAATAAATAAAGTCTTTAAAAAATAATTTAAAAAAGAACATGATTTTGTATTAGTAGTCACAGAAAGATGCCTAAATAACCCATGTCATGGTATTAAATTCTCTCCAGCTTGAATTTTTTTTAATAAATGTTATGCCTATCTATATATTGTGCTTTCAATTGCTATTTCTCTTGTGATGATTTTGGGATCAGCCCCAAACATGCAAGCAAAAACATTGTCTTATTTACAAATCTATCTGCCTGTAGAAGCAAATAGATGCAAACATAAGAACAGCACACTTTAAAATGTTATTGCGACTATGGAGTACTGCAGATGTTTAAAATATGAAAAATTGGTGGTAAACTTCATTTAAATTACTCCCATAGTTGAGGATAACTCCCAAAGTACATCTACGAGTTAGTTTCAAATTCCCTGCATATTTACAACATGTAGACTTGGCCCTACAGGGCTCCTGAGAGGTTTCAAACTCTCTCCCTGGAGTCCCATTGGCCCGAGGGCCTCACAGAGGCTGTCCTCTCTCCCAAGGGGGAGGCAAGACAATTCAAATGCCTGGACACATGCACTTTGCCTCAGCGACCTTTCTCTTCCCAAGGTTTGCACTGACCTATGCGACACTCCTTTTCCTCCCCTTTCTTTTCCCAACCTCCACCTCACCTCTTTTATAATTATTCTCCCCAGAGGGAAATCGGAGGGGGAGACGAACCATGAGAGACGATGGACTCTAAAAAACAAACTGAAGGTTCTAGAGGGGAGGGGGGTGGGGGGATGGGTTAGCCTGGCAATGGGTATTAAAGAGGGCACGTTCTGCATGGAGCACTGGGTGTTATGCACAAACAACGAATCATGGAACACTACATCAAAAACTTATGATGTAATGTATGGTGATTAACATAACAATAAAAAAATTTTTTTAAAATTATTCTCCCCAGAAACCTCTTTAAGCTCTCAGCACCTTAACCAAGACCTAAGTTCTACTAGGTTGTTCCAGGTGCCAATCAATTTGCTAGCTGTAAGTGAACAACTGAGGTTTGTATAAAGTTGATGTACTGAGGTACTGTAAAGAAGAAACAGAATTCTACCAACCATCAAAAGTTAAATCATTATTTTAAAACTGACAAGGAATTTAGTATTAAATTCATTACTGGAACAAGAAATAGTCAACATGGCAATTGCAGACGGAAATTGCAAGCACTTTATGTGAAGTATATTCTTCTGGACTCTAGTTAGCCAGCTTCTTTAAAGCTGTCTTTCATATCCAAACACTGTCCTATCCGTCAGTTACACTCACTTGCTGGCTCAGTCACAAAAGCTCCCTGTCATCTCTGGACAGGATTTTGACAGCTTCCAGAACATCAGTTCTGTCACTAACACTTATTTCTCTTCAACCTACATAAGATTATATTAATTTAACCAGGCTAGAGACATTCTCTTTCTGTTAAGATCAACCTTGAGGCCAGACCTGTCCTCACTCTGAGTTTTCCTGCAGGGTCCTTTTCAAGGGCTCTCCCTCTCACTCCCTCCCAGTTGCCTTAGTCAGTGACTCGGTTTGTGGGAGCCATGCTCAAGAACACGAAGATGTTTTCCTCGGTTGACACTCCATTAACTTTGGAGGTGAATTACTTTAGAGGTGTGTTTCTGCTAAAAATTATAACTGGCACATTCAGGTCAATTATCCCCCCTCTATCTATCCTGACATATTTCCCTCTCAGGCAGTAAGAACTGCCACCTCTCTCAGAATACCCACTTCTCAGAAAATATCTCAGCCAGCGGACTGCCTGGGCTGCTCAGGTGGGGGAGCATTCCAAGCTATCTCCTCAAAGAACCCGTCACATACTTTGCTTTTCTTTCGCACGTTTCTCACATATATCATAAAAACTCATAAGGCTCTCAAGGTATATCATGGTTCTTTTCTACACACAAGAGACTACAGGACTTCTCATTGATTTACGTAGAAATAACATGAATGTGTTAGTATTTGCTGTCTACTTCCACCAACACAATTACGAGAGGAAAAAAGAGAATAAAATACAGATGCTCAATATATCAATTGCTTTCCCATGTTCTTTCCCACTGCTTCCTCTCCTTTCTCCTGGAGTCCAACCAAATCACATTCTCAGATTTTCTCACCAGGCTGGTGTATTAGTAATATTGTAGTAAGCTGTTTACCACAGAGACTCCCAAATACAACAATATAGAAGACATTTTTTTCGCTCTCATAACAACCTGAAGAGATAGACAATTCTGGGGGTTGATAACTCTGCTCCATGAAATCATCCAGGTACCCACATTCCTTCTCTATTCTTGTCCCTCTATGTCCAAGGGTGTTGCCTTCATCCCCATTTTTAGAGCTGACTAACCACACCAGTCTGCAAGAAGGAGAAAGTAGACTAGTACATGTGACTTCTGCTCCTATCCCCTTCGCCAGAGGTTGGGGAATGTAGTCCCTAGTTGCATAGCCATGTGCCCACTGAAATTTGGGGATTCTTCAACTGAAGGAAGAACTGAAGGAAAGAATGGATATGGGATGGGGGTCAATTATCAGTAGTCTGTGCCACATCCAGTTCAGATTTAGGCTTAGAGAATGCCAGGTTCACCCAGTCTGGGCACAAGGACTGTAACATTTCTCCTACCAGATCCTTGAGAAGCCTCTGCTACTGGTACAGTGCTAATACTGTCTGCAGGAATCTTTTTTTTTTTTTAAGATTTTGTTTGTTTATTTATTTATTTATTTATTTATTTATTTATTTATTTAAGAGAGGGGGAGAGCGAGAGAGAGCACCAGTCGGGGGGTTGGGAGGGCAGAGAGAATGGGAGAAGCAGACTCCCTGCTAAGCAGGGCGCCGGATGTGGGGCTCAATCCCAGAACCCTGGGATCAAGATCTGAGGCGAAGGCAGATGCTTAACTGCGCCCCCCAGGCGTCCCTGGAATCTTTTTAAGTCTCAAGCCTTGTGCTAAATAATTTACATACACTAACTCATTTAACCCTCACAGAAAAGATACGAAGTGGATCCTATCGTTCCCATTTTAGAGATAAGAACTTAATTCAGAGGAGTAAAGCAACTTTCCCAAGCTCAGACAGCTACCCGGCAGTCAGGAGGGCAGGGGAGCGTGAGGTGGTCACATGACTTGTAGGTGAATTGGAAGTACACTAGACCATTATGCAAAGCTCTGAGCTTACAGAGATGAGACTGAAAGCTAGTCTTCCATGAGGAACTCGAGTGGAGACAGGGAACCAGACGGAGGGCAGAAGGCTGTTCAGATTGGATGACGCGTTGCCAGAGTTAAGTAGCTGAGCCATGGCCTATGCGAAGAGTTTGTTCTCCCTGGGGCCCACCAAATGCTGAGTGTAGAAGTAACTCACCATTTTCTGTCCCCACTTACTGGAGGGGGAATCTCCCTGCAAAGTGCCATAATCAGTGTCCATGTTTTAGGGCTTGGAAAGGACTCTGTCCATATTTAGTCATTAGCCACATAGGTTGTGTATCACCCTTTCGTCTGAATCTGTCTAGGCTTTGGGAATATAGAGATGAACCTTCTTCTCACAGAACGCAGGGTCTAGCAGGGAAAACAGACATTGCATCCTGTGCTCTTAATAACGTGTAACAAATGTAGTTGGGAAAGTGCGGGCTGGTGAGAGGCACCGCCTGCCTGATGTAACAAGGGAGGTACCATTCCCAACAAGGAGGGAGGGGCCCATTCTGCCTGGAGAAGAACTTCCTACTTCTGACCATAGTACAAAGTATTGCTGCCTTAAGCCGCTTTCGCATGGTTGCAAAGAGATGGCAAAAAGAGTTAAAGAAAAGAATCGGCTTACTGTGGGGTGCCTGGGTGGTGCAGTCGGTTGAGTGGCCAACTCTTGGTTTCAGCTCCAGGGGTGATCTCAAGGTCGTGAGATGGAGCCCCTGCCCGCAGTGTGGAGTCGGCTTGGGTTTCTCTCTCCCTCTCCCTCTGCCCCTCCCACTCCCCTCCCCTGCGCTGGCGCTCTCTCCCTCGCCACTCGCTCTCTCTCAAATAAATAAATCCTTAAAAAAACAAGAATCAGCTTATTGTACCATTGACTTTCCTCTCAGATTCTCATTTTCAAATCCTGATCCTTTCATTTTAATCTGATCTTTATCGAGGACTTTTTTTTCCCCCCTGGGGACCCTTGCTCCTTCCTGATACAGTAGTTGCCCCTTTCCTGCAGGGGATACATTCCAAGACCCCACATCGGATGTCTGAAACAGGAGCTAGTACCAAACCTTATATATACCTATGAGAAAGTTTAATTTATAAATCAGGCACCGTAAGAGATTAACAATAAAACTAACGCAAATTTCCCTTTCGGACTTCACAATTTCAGGGAAGATTTGTTCTTACCGTAGATCTTTGCAGCCGCAGCGTACTATGTTCTTTCCTTATCAGGTTGAAAACTTTCACCTTTTCACTTAACGGAAGCATTTTGGGGCTTTTCTCTGGCTTATGCTAATTGCCACCCTCACTATCCTTGCGCTTTGGGACCATTATTAAGTAAAATAATACCAGCCCTGCAATTCCGGGGCAGGAGCCCTGACAACCGCGGCGGGCAGCGGCCTACGCAGTGCGCATGCGCGGGGAAAGGGCTGATTCGCTTCCGGGGCAGGACAGAGCGGACCTCGCGAGATTTCATCGCGCTATTCAGAGCGGCTCGAGGAGTTTAAAACTTACGAGTCGTTTAGTTCCGGAATTTTCCATGTAATATTTTCAGACCATGGGGAGCTGAAACCGTGGAAAGCAACACCACAGAAGAGGGGGTACTACTGTGTTGATGCTCTCATTAATCCTTTCAACTCCCCCCATCTGACTCTCCCACCCCAAAGCTTTTCCCTGGGGCAACCGGTATTTATGACAGACAATATCCTATAAATAACCAGTTGCTACCAAATGTTAGTTACAATCACTACTGCTAATGAAAATAAAATGCCAGAATCCTCGTATCATCAGCCCAACTAGCGCACCCCTTGAACCTTTATAGCCCAAAATACCTTTGGCAAACATTCAGAGGATCAGAAGCGTATACGACCCTGCAAGAGAATAAAGTGACTGATGACGAACAGTCCTGATGTCATGAGTCACACAAGCCAAGACTGGAGCTGTTCGGTAAAGAACAGGGAAGGCTGCTCGGCAGGTGTCCCTGCAGTATGAGCCCTCATGATTGATTAGATCCATATTAATTCAGCTCACAGCAACTACGAAGGCAAGTAACCCACTGGCAAGAAATAAGAAAGGCTAAAGAATTAAGAAGCAATGCTGGCTTCTTCAGAAGGGTGTGGTCTCCTTTTCTGAGGTACATTACATCCAGGATTGTGTTGCAGTGTAAATCACAAACACTTCAATCATTCTCCAAAGATTTATTATGTATGCTAGGTACTGAAAATGTCACAGTAACAGGTAGATGCAGTCCTTGCCATATGAATCAATAGACACACAAATAAAGCTGTGATTATAAACTGCTAGAAAGGTTATGGAGGAAAGTTAAAAGAGTTTGATGAACATTTTGAGAGGAGAGTAACTAGATTAAGGGGCCAGGGAAAGTATTGTTGAAGAAGATATTTAAACCCCAAATGAATAGGAATAGGCCAGTAAAATGACAGGAGATGAGAATGCCAACAGACACTGAATGCAGAGGGGGATGGGATTTGAAGTGGAAATCAATGCTCCTCTATAAGCAGGGGCAGTGAGGTTACCTGTGTTCTGCAGTAGCCCAGCTTCCCTGGCTGTGGCATGCCAAGAGGATCGTAAAATCTCTACCCTTCAACCTAGGTCATTAGACTGTTGGTGTTAAGTTGTTTTCTGTCTTCAGGGTCAAGACAGGACAGAAAAAGTTGCAAACTGAGCTCTGACTGCTAAGGTTATCACTGTGTCAATCCTTGAGCTTTCCAGGTGGAACTAATCATTAGATATTCTGGGTTCGCCTACTTTAACCACACTTCACTGCCTCACTACTGCTGTATTATAATTCCGTCTTTACAATTTTTCTCTCCTTCTAGCTTGTGAGTACACGGAAATCTTACATTTTTATTTATATTACTAGAATCTAGCACACTGCCTGGAAAAGAGTAACTCCTCTATAAATGTATATTAAATAAATACATAAAAAAAAGTCAATCAGTCATTAGGTTCTGCAGAATTCTGTTGTAACTTAAGGAGATATGGGTTTACCTACATTACTCATTTTTATGTATAAGTGCCTAAAGATAATAATTGATGAGAAATAGCTTCTTTGCTTTATTGGATGATTCTCAAAATTGTAGTGAAAGAAAAAAAAGAAGTGGAAAAATATGCTGACCCAGACATTAAGTATGCAACTATTTATTTTCTTATGAAAAATGTCAATGCATTAGGAGGGCTAGTTAGATGAAGATACAAAGCCTTCTACATCACTGCCTGACTTCAAAAATGAATGCATCTATCCTCAAAAAAAAAGTCAGCACTGGGTTATTTTGTGCTCTAATTGAAACTCTGATGTTTTCAACTAAAAAAGGTTTATATTCCAAACTAATGCTATATGAATGCAATTATTCTCCAAATGTCCTATTTGGAATCATTACATCTTGCACAACAATGCCAACCACCTAAAGTTGCTGAGAATCTTTTGCCACTGACAATGGCTAGGTATCAAGTGTAATAGGACCAGACGCAGCAAACAAATTAAAATGTGTGTCTTTGTCAAATGACACTGTTTCGAGGAGTGTAAGTGACATGGCAATTAATGTCTGTGAACAGCTGGTTTTAAAGATTAAAGAAAGTGATTATTTTGCCCTGCCAGTGGACCGATTCACCTAAATGTGCTGAGATGCTGGCATTTTAAGATACATTTCCGTGAAATATGGTGGATAAGTTCATGCTGTTTAGAAAAATTTAAGCCAGTCTTACAACAGCAGAAGACCATTTTGAAGTATTTCAAGAGGCAACCCAGAATTGCAATATATGAACCAGGAATTTTATATTGCTATTTATATGGTGAGAGCTGAATTATAGAGTTATCAAATCAGAAAAGGGTTTGATTACAAAGAATGATTCAGATTCTTCCTGGATATGCCTCTTCTTGGATATGCTGCTTCTTTTATTCTCATAATATTGGTCTTTTAAAAAGAAAGGTGAAGGGAGAACATATTTCCATTTTTTGGAGGACTGTCATGACTTTTAACAGGTATGTTCCTCAAAATGACTGTATGATCAGGAAGTCCCAAGGCCATGAGGACAAAATATTTACAAAGTCCAAGTATCAAATTTTCTTTAAGCCAAAATGTCTCCACTGGCTGATTGGCAGGCATGGTGAGCTCTAATCACCAAACCCATCAACTGTAGAGCCTGATGTCCCTAAGGGATGTGTCCCGTGACCTTCCAAATCTTAAGAACATTCAGGAACAGTAACACAGAACTAGCAATGGACAGTGTTTGAAGGATATTTTCACAAAGTAACAACACTCATAACTCCAAGAGATTTTCTCCTTGGGTGAGGCCAATTCATTCACATAGCAAATATTTACTGAGGTCTTTCTTTCAGAGCTCAGATACCTCCAAATTAGTTTCACAATGTCCTTGACTCCCATTCACACATCAACAAATCTACAGGTTGAGGAATTACTTGCACATAGTTGAGCTTCTGACTCTTGATCTCAGCTCAAGTCTTGATCTTGGGGTAGTGGGTCCAGTCCCCAAGTTGGGCTCTGGTCCCGCCTTTTTTTTTTTTTTTGAAAAAAAAAAGTTAAATCTGCTAATGCAAATATTATAGTTTATTAATTACACACATTTATATAAAAATTTTTTAAAGAGAGACACCTGGTGGGGCACCTAGGTGGCTCAGTCGTTAGGCGTCTGCCTTCAGCTCAGGTCATAATCCCAGAGTCCTGGGATCAAGCCCCACATCGGGCTCCCTGCTCAGGGGAAAGCCTGCTTCTCCCTCTCCCACTCCCCCTGCTTGTGTTTCCTCTCTCGCTATGTCTCTCTCTCTCTGTCAAGTAAATTTATTTATTTATCCCAGGACCCTGGGATCATGACCTGAGCCGAAGGCAGCCGCTTAACCGACTGAGCCACCCAGGCACCCCAGTAAATGAAATCTTAAAAAAAAGAGAGGGACACCTGGGCAGCTCAGTGGGTTAAGCATCTGCCTTCGGCTCTGATCATGGTCCCCACATCCTGGGATCAGGTCCCACATCAGGCTTCTTGCTCAGCGGGAAGCCTGCTTCTCCCTCTGCCTGCCACTCCCCCCTGCTTATGCTCTCTCTCTCTTTCTCTGACAACTAAATAAATAAAATATATTTTTTTTAATTTTTAAAGAGATGATGACATACTCTAAATTTGCCTGAATTATTCCTTATTTGGGAAAATATAACAAATACATTACCCTGAGGTCAATCAAGACCAAACCTCTGACAGCACATCTTACCTTAATTCCCTTTTTTACCAGGACAGCTGCTTTTTAAAATTTTTTTTAAAGATTTGTTATTTACTTATTTGAGAGAGAGAGAGCATGAGAGAGAGCAAGAGCATGAGTGAGGGGGAGGGGCAGCAGGAGAGGGGAAGCAGACTCCCTGCTGAGCAGGGAGCCCCATGAGGGGCTCCATTCCAGGACCTTGGAATCATGACCTGGGCTGAAGGCAGACGCTTAACTGACTGAGCCACCCAGGTGCCCTATTTTTTTTTTAAACCAAATAAGTCTTGGGGCACCCGGCTGACTCAGTCAGCTGAGCATCAGGCTCTTAGTTTCAGCTTAGGTTGTGATCTCACAGTCATGAGATTGAGCCCCAAGTCAGGCTCCATGCTTCCAATTCTCTCTCCCTCTGCATCGCCCCCACTTCTCTCCCTCAAATAAATAAATCAATAAAAATTTTTAAACTCAAATAACCTTTGCTTCTCCTCTTTATAGAGACATGTTTATCCCAGTATCTCAGAAGCCCAATAATAAATCCAAAAGCTCTCTCCACCACATCCTCCAGGAGACTTAGGCTCCTTATGGAAATAAGTTTTCTAGTATTTACACAGTTATCTCAGATTTTTTAAGGTACACTTGCCAGTTAGGTCCCACTCATGCTACTTTGTTGCATGAGAAATCTCTAAAAAATGCAAGTAAATAATAAGTCATGTTAAGTATTATGACCTATTTTTTAAGTACTTACGGGAAATGGATTAGTTAGGAATTAGGTCTTTGAGACAAAGTCGTGACCTTGATCATGAGGAAAGTGTTGTAATACCTTGAACAAAAGTAGGAACCAGCACCTGTTTATCATAAGCCTTGCCAGGAAAAGAGAGGCTGTGTCTGTGAAGTGGCATGAATAGGTAGAGTGAAGACAAGATGGTTCCTGCCCCTTCGTTTCAAGCAAAGGAATTTAGATTTGGTCAGGCAGGTACGCTCTTAAGTAGAAGAATAGCAGACTGATAATTTTCTGAGGAAATGCATCCTCTTAAAAACTGGAAGAAAACACATCAGAAAGAAACTGAGCTACCATATGTCTCAATAATCTGAACACAAAGTGATAAGAGACAGCATGTGGTCTAGCTGTAGAAGCAATGAAAAAGAACCCAATCCAAGAGGCACTGTGGA